TTATAAAACACGATGTAGGACATTCAAGTACCAGATAACATCATCACTCTCTTTTTATATGTATAATTGTATAAAAATGGATTAGAGGTTGGTAATTAGGGTGCTTTTTTATAATATGAAGTAAACGAAAGCCTAGAAGTGCAAGTGCTTAGAGATGATGAATCACTAATTTAATCCACTATTATCTATATAGATATAGCGAATCCACCATGTATAGCGGTCCACTTTGAAAAACCACATTTTTTGGGAGTTAAATGGAAAGTTAGCATCATCATTTCACTTGTAATTAGGACTTTACAAACCAGGTGGCTAATGTAATTTCTCAATTAAACCACTACACGTCTATATTTCAGGTTGGTTTTCGTTTTGATATCAAACTAGTTATTGGCCCGAGTGATGTCCCAAATCACTATAAATTTATAAATTTGATAAAAACTAAATTTATAAGATTAGTGTTAAACAAAATATATAAGTGAATAAAAATATAATAATAAATTTAAGATTTATAGATGCTAGTTTTTATTTTATTTTTTTATTTTTTTTTTTAAAAAAAAAGGTGCTAGTTTTTATTCATTTTACTTTACACAATAAAATAATAACTTTTTATTAGAAATAAAATTAAAAAAATAACTTATGTAAATATTATGGAGTACCTTAACTGTTATTGAATCTAGAAAGTTAGCATCAATGTTGATTTATAATCTTAATGTGCAATTTTTTAGGAGTTACATTATATGAGAAAATGATCTGATATGAAGTACAAAGGTTACACATATAAACAATTAAAAAAAGATGAATGATGACACATAGTGCTCATGTGGCGCCAAGTCATATAGAGGGAACGATGACAGATGATGGTAGCATGTTGTCCCTTTGAGTTTTAATAAAATTATAGAGATACTTTTTGTATAATTAATTTATTATTATTATTAGGAAATTCTGTGAAAAATTAAACTACCTATTATAGTCCAGAATTTGCGAGAAACTACCTATTAAAAAAAATGTTGTAATTGACTACCTAACTTTTGAAAAATTTTGTAATTTACTACCTTACGCCGGATTATGAAGTTTGACTTAAATTTTCCGGCGTTGACTTAGTCAAGTGACACTTAGTGACCATCACGTGGGAAAATTGTGAGAAAATTTGGGAAAGAAAAGGGTCATTAATTGTCACGTGATGCCGGGGAATTTTGGTTAAACTCCTTCATAATCCGGCACAAGGTAGTAAATTGCAACATTTTTCAAGAATTAGGTAGTCAATTACAACATTTTTTTTAATAAGTAGTTTCTCGCAAATTCTAGACTATAATAGGTAGTTTTTCACAAAATTTCCTTATTATTATTTATATAAGATTCACCGAGCCACAAAGTTTGTGGCTAGGGTTACTTATTCAAGGATTTCCTGGTCCCCAGTCGGTCAGGGGTTACTAGTTCAAGGACTATTTGGTTAGGGGTTACTCAAGGTTACTTATTTAGAGGTTACTGCGTTGATCAGGGGTTATTCGATTAGGGATTACTTGGTCAGGGGTTACGTTACTTGGTTAGAGGTTACTTAATCGATCAGGGGTTACCAGGTCTAGGTCTGAGGTTAGTCGATCAATCAAGGTTTATCTAGTCAGTGTTTTGGTGTGTTTCAGCCGACCACACAGAAAATGCGCTGAAGATTCATGAGGTTTTTATTTTATTGATATTAAAGAATAATCAATAACACAATACTAAAACTGCAGACACCAAGAATGACACGTGTCACTTCTTGGTGCTACTTTTTTCCCTCCAAAACTTTTTTCTCATTGTATTTTTTTATTCATCACTTCCTAAAAAATATTCATTTCTTTATATAATGACTTTTTTGTGTTCTACGGGCCTGTTCTCTTTAGCTTATATTTTCAGTTCAATTCAGTTCAGCTCCAATTAGTTTAGTTAAGTTAAGTTCAGTTTAGTTCAATTTATTTCCTAATTTCCTTCTCTCATAAAATATTATGTTCAATTTAGTTCAGTTCTATTCATTTTAGTTCAGCCAGCTCAGTTCAGTAAATCACAACAGGACCTACCTTTGGTCTAATCTGGGCGTGAGTCTCAATTCTGATTATAAATTAAGATTCAAATCTTTTCAATTTCATTTAAAAAAAAAAAGAATATTACTTTTTGGTAGAGTTTTAATTAACATTATAGTTAATTATAAAATTTTGTTAAACTGGTGCGTGACACGGGGCTTAATCTAGTCTATACTAATACTACTATATTTTCTTTTTTATATGCAACACTTCCTATAAATGATTTTTTTTTAATTACATTACATTCTTAAATAGATTTAATTTCCCTTTTTATTATAAATGTATCCTCACATGATCTCACTCATACCTCACACTTTTTTCTTATATTTTAAAACTGGCATCCCTTATTTTTACATAATTTATTCACTCCCTACTATTAAATATAAAGATAAAAATTATTTACTCACAATCATCAATTTAAATTATGAAAAAGCTAAAGTGAGTATAAATTGGAAGGAGAGTAAGTATGAAAAATATTTAAATATATTATGAAGGGACAAATAATGGGGAGGAAAATAGTAAAATATTGTTATAAGTTTCTAAAAATAAAGGAAAAGAAAAAAAAAAGAAAAAGAAAAAGTGGAGCAAGTAATATTAATATAAATAATATCATCATTTTTTTAAAATATTTTTACCAACATTTAATCATATGAATCTATATTTTTACTAACATTTAATCATATGAATCTAATGTCGAACTAGTGCACTGACATGTGTATTAAGTTGATTGTATTAACTATTTAGGAAAAAATAAAGTATTAATCATATGTCAAAAAAAAAAATTATTAATCAATCAATCAACTATATGCTAAAAGACACATAAAAAATGGCACGTGTTTTTTTTGGTGTATCTCTTAGTTATTTTTTGTAAAAGAAAAAATCAAATATTTTACAGAAATAAAATAATCAATCAATAACTATCAATACTATATACTAAAGTAATTACCGAGATTATCCTATATGTACATGTGTCGCATTCACGTTATAAAATTTCCCGCCAAAAAACCTTTTTTTGTCCTTAAAAAGTTAGATAATAGATAAAATAAAAATTATACAACCTTAATAATAGAACAATAACAACTTTAAATAAATAAAATATTAAATGTATACAAAAACTATAAACAAATACAAACTTATAGTGATATTTGAATATAAGTTGCAATTCTTTTCTTGTGAACATTTGAGCATTGCTCGGGCAATGAACTAGTATACTAAAAGACACACAAAAAATGACACATGCATGACATTTTTTGGTGTGTCTCTTAGTTGTTTTTTTTTGTTTTTTTTTTAAAAAAAAATCAAATATTCTACATAAATAAAAGAATAAAAAAATATTTAATGTATCATATCACAATATATATTGATCATAAACTTAAAATCAAATCAAATTCTTAACATAAATTGTTACATACATATTATTATGTACAACTCTACCGTTTTTACAACAAGGATTTTTTTTTGAAAAAAAAAGATTTTATATATAATTATGTGTGAAAAACTTGCTAGGAAAGATATGGAAAACTATTTTTTCCTGCTTATTGAAAAAAAATTATACTGTATGAGAAAATGAATAATAGTGGGTATAAAAAAAAATTATGTATGGGTTAAATACATATTGTTAAGGGCTTGTTTGGCATCAGTTTTGGTTTTTAGTTTCCTGTTTTTTTGAAAACCAAAAATAGAAAACAAGAAAAAGGTGTTTCCACTTTTCTGTTGTCAATTTTCAAAATTATCATAATTTTAATAAGTTTATATAATTTTTGATTCATTATGGGACTCAAATCATATACTTTTTGAAAACAAAAAACCAAAAAACAAAAAACCATAGCAATGCCAAACGAACCCTAACATATTCATTTGGTTAACAAGAAGAAAATGATATAAATGTATTGGAGAAATATACTGTAAATATATGCATATTTTATAATATTTATTGGCTAATAATGGATTATTTCATAATAAATTTATTTTTAAAAGCAATAATTTAAAATAGCTATTGAATATTATTGTGCATGGCACGGAACTTAACTTAATTTTATACTGACGTAGAGTGAATACGGCCTAAGCCATGTAATTATAAGAATTTTAGAGTTGGTAATTTGAATTACTTAATTATTACTTAATTATTTCAATTACTAGGTTAGAACCCGTGCGATGTACGGTTTATATAAAACCTATTTTTAATTTGTACATTTTAAAAATAATTCGCTATTATACATGAATATAAATGAGAATCACGTATATTTTATAATTTTAAATTTTTTTCTTTTAATCAAAATTATGATATATTATCTGTTCAACGTTGTCTAATTCATAATTCAATGTAGGAGGTCGTTTATTAGTGTGCTATTTAAAATTGTTTCAATTTCCAACGATAAATATATAGATTTTAGTTGTAATGTAGAAGCTTCCAATATTTAAATTTCAAAAATGTTAAATATGATAGCTTTCCGAAAAAAAGGGAAATTATCAATGGTACACCCGAGCTTTTGACTTTTCTCAATGGTACCATTCCTATGTTTTTTATTATCAACGGTACATCCAAGGTTCCGACTTCTTAACTAGTGTGATTAGGCTGTTAATGAAACGTCAATAACATTCTAATTATACATATTTAGGTTGTTAAATGCATAAAATGTCTAAAATACCCTTTTTTTAAAAAAAAAATATTTCCCTCCAACTTTTCCCTCACAAATTCAAAATCTAAGCACTATTTCCCACCAAAACAGGTAATTCTCCATCTTCTATATAAGCATCCGTCACAGTTCATCTTTATTCTCAACACCTCCTTTTTTTATTAAATTTTTTTGGTTTGGATTATATTGGGGGGTGGGGGGGGGGGTGGTTCTTCTGGGTTTGACTTTTCTTCTTCTGGCAGCAAGATTGGAAGGGGCATGTGGATTAAGAATTGTTGTTGTTATGTATTTGATTTTGATAGTTGTTGCATTAAAGTGAAGTAATTTGTGTTGGCATCTTATGATATGTAATGGAGTTTCGGTTAAAGTAATGAAATAGAATAAATTTGGTGAAAATAAGTGTATTGTAACCTGCTGCTGCACTCGCAACAATTCCTTCTAACAGAGTGTTACCTGCTGCTATGAATGCAACAAAATCTCCTAATCCTGTTCTTAGATAAGCAAATGAACCACCTGCAACGGGAATTCCTACTACGTATTCTGTGTAGCAGAAGACAAAAGGCATTGCGGAGGAACCTGAAACCAAATAATAAGACATGACAATAGCAGGTCCAGCATCATCATGAGCTTCTTTGCCTGTTAGAACAAAAATTGATGATATAAATTTTATTTAATTTGAACATATTTCCACCGGTAATAAGGCAAAATTGAAAGCAAATTTCTTTGAAACCCAAACATTGTCATTTCCATACCAATATCGATCCAAGTACTAGGCTTACATAAAATTCTAACAGCAAACTAAACATAGTTTAACCTAATAGAAATGTTGAAGGTGGTAACAGTATTTTGAATAACAAAAAAACTTGCTAGAAGTTCAAACATTTCAGAGTTATTCAAACTTGAGATTCTGACTTTGATAAGCTAATTAACTGGCTGACTCTGCAATTGTGAGGCTGTAAGAATTGTCTGAGTAGCTTCCTTAGCTGACTTTGATGCATTGGATGGATCTCTTACCCTTGGATTCTGTATCACAACAGGCTCACTTGCCTTTAACTTCTTCCCAGTGAGCCCCCCTTTACATGTTCTTGAGTTGTATCCAAAGCACCCACATTTAGAACATTTCACAGTCTTTGATATTTTTCCTGGTTGTTCCTCACCTTCTTCTCTTCTTCTGTTTCTACTAGGTCTTCCAATCCCCTTCTTCATCTTTGGTGGCTCTATAACTCTCCCATCTTCACTTTCTGGCCACTGGTCTTGATCAGGAACAGAGTTTATTCCAACACTGTAAGCTTGCTTGTTTGTTTTAATGGAGTACCACAAACTTACGTACTCATGTGGATCTAACTTTCCATCCACTAGTTCTCTAATTGCATGCCGACATGGGATTCCTGATAGTTGTCAAACCCCACATGAACATATTTCCTGGTTAAGACTTAGAGGGAATTGAGACTTTCCCTCATGTATTTCATATTCTCCAGGCTTTGACTTATAAGCCTTGCAAGTTGAGCTAGCTTTGCCAATGCCTTCACTAATTTTGCAATCTTCGGGCATATGTCATCATCTTTCCAACTCATGGCATTTTCATGTCTTGTTGCAAGCCTAACCATGCATACTCTTTTGATCCCTACATTGGAAAACAAGAAACTGGTTTAGTTTATATCAAAATAATTGGTAACTTCAAGAATAGGGAAGAATTTTGACATACCTTCAAGTAGAGTTAACACAGGTTTGCACCTGTCTATCCCAAGTGTTGAGTTGAAGCTTTCGACAAAATTTGAAGTATTTGAGTCATTGCACACATTGGGATCAAACTTGTGCTTGCTCCACTTTGATTGCTAACCCAAGTCTGCAAACCATTTCATCTATCACATCATCCCCTCCTTCCTTTTGAAGCCTTTCCATGGCCTTCCTAAAGGTGAAAAATGAAGTGGCATGACAGGCCCTCCAAAACAATATGTACATAAGTAGACCAGGGAAAGACTTTTTGTAATTCCTAGTCAAATACCTACAACAATATTTCCTGTCTGCTTCAAGCCACAGTTGAGTCAAAGCCAAGTCCACTCCCTAAGTAAAAAAAAAAGTGATCAAAACACTTGTGTAATAGCAAAGAATAAAATGAAATTAAAGATTAGGCTAAATTTTTACCTTCTGCCTATCTGAAATTATTGTCCAATCCTTCCTTGAAGACACTTTGACAATGTTTAGCAAATGCCAGAAGAAAAATGACCAGGTCTCTTTATCTTCTTGGCCCACTATGGCATAAGCTATTGGAAATATCTCATTATTTCCATCTAATCCAGCAGCTGTCAGAAGGATACCTCCATAGTTTCCTTTCAAATGTGTTCCATCAACACCAATCAAAGGTCTGCAACCCCTAAGAAAGCCCTTCCATTATCCTGTGAATGAGATGAATATGCTATTGAATAACAGCCTCATATCTATGCATTATGTCTGAGTCCAGGCAACAAATACTTTTGACTCTAGGTTAGTATATTTCACAACTTCAGCATACATTGGCAACTTAGCATAGGACTCATCATGTCCCCCAAACAACATATTAATGACATAATTCTTCAACCTGTATAGAGTAGCCTGCTTCATATAAACACCAAATCTCATAAACAACAATTCATTTAAAGCCTTTCCTGGAATGTTAGGATTAGCTCTAATGTCCACCATCACTTTATTAGCTGCCCATTTCACATTACATATAGGGTTATATGTCTCTAACCCCCTGCAAGTACGAACATTGGTCCATATCTTCTTCATAGCCTAGGTTCTACCATCAGGCAACTTGGTAGCATGCAGCCGCCAACCACAAGCCTCAGATTAGCAAATAATAGTGTATCTTCTGTTGTCTTCAGCCTCAACATTAATAGCAAACCCCTCCTGAACTGCATAATCCTTAATAGTGTCCTTCAAATGTATCTTGTCAGTAAATATCATGCAAGGCCTTAACTCTATTTTGCCGAAATTCCTTTCCTCATACACCTCTCCATTTTTATACAAATGCTGAAAATAATCATAATCATTATCATCATCTATGAAACCATACCATTGAGAAGGTTTCCAGTTATCCTTCACCTTAGGAACTTGCTTTACTCCCTCCAATTTATCTGCAGGAACTGGACCTGTAGTATTACCTCACGATCAGAATCTGAACCCTCATTTACCCCTGATGCAACATAGTCATCACCACTCTCATCATAATCATCATCCTCCCCACCAGAATTAAAACACACCTTCCTCCTAACACTGACATTAGCAGGTGTAGACAACCATTTTTGTCTCCCCAAAACCAAACCCGGTGATGAGTACCTTTTGCGTCGAATCATAATCGAATGAAGCGAAAGTGTGGAAAGTCTAGTGTTGCGGATAGTTTTAATTTCTTTTCTCTTCTCTCTGTTTTGAAAACTTATTTTAAGAAAACAGAAAATCCAGTTTGGTTGGTCCATGATATGGGTCCAATAGTAGTGTAGTTGGATGGGGCTTGACAAGAGCTTTCCTACGATATATTATAAGCCCAATTCCGATGAATATTGAGGAAGTTATGGCCAAATTACTGAACTGGGCCCAGTTTGAGCCTTATATGCGGCCCAATGATCTAGGGAAGGGCCTAATATTTATGATTGTTAGTATCATGTTAGGGCTAAAGTTTTGATTTTTATTGTTTAGTGACATGCTAGGGTTTGTTATTAATCTTGTTAGTATCATGCCTAGGATCTTGCTATTTTTATTATGCTTTAATGTTGATATGATTATTTTAATTATGATTTATGATTTTATGATTATAATTGTTATAATTTATGATGATTATGATTATTATTATTATTATTATTATTATTTTGATGATGATTATTATGTTGCTTAATATTTATTATTTATTGCTTGATCACACCTTTTTATGCATGTTTAAAGGGAATTTATACTTGTAATCGCGCTTAATAAGATATTAATAATCTTGTTTAGGGTTAATTGTGATTATAATTCAAGTGATCGCCAATAATAGTTCTATTTGTGCATTAATATTCAACCAACATAGATTAAATAGGTTTAGGGTTAATCTTATTGATTGCATGTTAGTCAGAAAGCGCACATGAATACGATCAGAATAAAGTAGAGGCCTATTATTAGGGCAGGTTCAATCTCTTTTAGGTTGGATTTGTACCTTCATCCCCGAACCCTTATTTGGTCCTAGACCTTATGGAGTTGACGATCTCTTGGATCGTTAAGGGGTGTAACCTTCATCCTATGAACGGTTTATAAGTTCCTAAAACTTGTTGGCGACTCTTTTGCTCTATCTTCTTCCCTTTTGGACGCCACTGTACTTTAGTGTATGATCACAGTGGGGTTCAAGCTAGTGGGATTAAAGCTTGAAATATTCCCTACAGTTTTTTGGCGACTCCACTGGGGAGGATTTCTTTTTTAATTCTTGAATTTGTTTCGGCAATGAATTAGAATGAGTGGATGAGACTCGAAAAGTTCTAAGTATTTCATGTGCGTAATTTTGATTAACATTATTGTCATATGCATAAAAAAGATCTCATTGGAAAGACCATCCGTAATGAGTTAAAAACATAGGATTTTACACGTAGGAAATTTGAGAAATATCTTTCACAACTAGGACCGAAATAACACCGCGCGAAACTGGAAAATTTTATCGAGCACAGAAAGCTGCTGAGGCATGTGGGAAGTAGCGTCAGGGGCCGGAGCTTGGCGCCAGCATTTTAGTCGTAGCACCAGACGCCAGTATTGGCGCCAGGCGCTAAAGTTAAAAGATGGCGCCAGTCTTTGTTTGCTGGCGCCAATTTCCCCCAATACCGAGCCAGAAATATGCGTTCTAATTTCGACCGGTTTTTCGTATTGTTTGCTCGATCATACTTCCTGATTGAATTTTTTTTCTCACTTTTCTAAAACCCATATGTGTTCTACATATGGACATAACCCTCTGGGAATTCATGCTCCACCTACCCGATTGAACGCTCCGTGCAACAAAGGGTACATCCGAGATGTTGAATTCACCAAACCATGGAAGCGAGTTTTTTCTAAAACTCGCGGTGTCCCATCCACTCGCGCCAACCCTTCACGGTTAAGCTTTCGCGCGGTGCATCCGGACAGTTAACCATGGACCCTTTATTGACTAAACTATATCCTGAACTTTAGAGAACTAGAGCCATGATTAGGTTGCAAACGCATTGCATCATATTGTGCCTACTTGACTAATTGTGCATTATTTGTTGTGCATATATATTCTATGTTTCTCTTAACCGTTTGTTGACTTGTGTTGAGACTAAATAAATTAATGACTTAAAGAATTTTGCCTAATTGATTAATTAATTTGAGTCAATAAAGTCTAATATTTTAATCAGAATTGGCCTAGTACGACTTTAGGCATACCCCAATTGACTAATAACACCGAAAACAGTCCCAGATCGAAGCTCCGATATTGGCGCCAAGGTCTGAGATGTAGCGTCACACTATGGAGTGTAGCGCCTGACGACAGCTCTGTCGTCTGGCGCCAATCTCCACGGTGCGACGCCAATCCTGTCGTTTGGCCGACAGTTCGGATTATTGGTCGAGTCATCACCTAGAGTCTAATTAATCAGTTTTCTAATTAATTCGGTTAAATTTTGCTGTCAATAATACTTATTTGAGTCGATGTCGAGTTTAGGCACTAAGTCCCATGGTCTTACACAAGAGTCCAAGCACGTCACTTACACTCAACGCACACACCAATACACATACTTTGACCATGTTTAAGAGAGTCTTGTGTGCGCGTTTTTTCTGTCATTTTTTTAAGGGGGTAAGTCGGATATTAATCCTCCAATAAAAAAAAAAACTATTCTTAGTTCCCTAAAATATGTACATTATTTTTGCCAAAATATGCACCCTTTTCTACTTTATTCTTTTTTTTCCCTCCTTAAAATAAACCGTAAAGTCAAGTTGATTCGAGTCAAGTAATAAAAACGCAAAATGGTTTAATTTACAGCGCGTGGTCAAGAAAGGAAGGACGGTTAATCAAAGACAACCTCTTCGTACAAGTCCAACTTTTCGACAAACCCATAGCTCGTAAGAGGAAAGCTAAGACTATAATGGCAACACAAGAAGAAGTCAATGATCTTAAGAACCAACTGGCTATCGTGACTGAGACATTGAAGCTTCTTGCACTCAAGATCGATGATCCCGTGAAGCAACAACAGATGGACCTCATGAAAGAGAGTTTAAGCAAGTTGTCTAGCGACTACAAATTTCAAGAGCTTACATCACAAGGGGTCTCGGTGGACAAAGATCTTCTTTCGCAGAAGTTCAACGCCAACGAAATCCCAAAATTTAGAGCAACTGACAACCCTTACTTTCGTTTAAGAGCATTTGAGACAATAATGAGTGTTAAGGGTATTGATAAGAAGGTCTTCCCTTCTTTGTTCTCACTATCTCTCGAGACCGTTTGCCAACAATGGTTCTTTTCTCTCGAGAAAGAAAAGACCTATACTTGGGAATCCATAGCAAACGCTTTCGTTGATAGGGACAAGTGCAACATTCAAGTCGAGACTGGCCATAGGGAATTTGAAATCCTCAAGCAGAAAGAGAATGAAGGCTTCACCTCTTTCTTTAACAAATGGAGGGAAACCTCAGCTAAGATGATTGAGGTGCCAAGTGAAAAAGAATCTGTGAGGCTGTTCATAAAAAATCTTCAAGAAAAATATTCCAAGCATCTCAAGTATCAAAATAACCTCCATACCTTTAAATTCGTTTATGACATTGGGATCAATATTGAAGATGACTTGGCTAAGTTAAAAGCTGCCAACAATAACTCCAACAGTGGCTGGAAAGGAAAGAAGAACGACAATCCTTCTTCTTCCAAAACCGCCCACTCAAACAACTTTAGCACTTTTAATTTAGGAGAAGTCCTTGCTATGAACAATCAAGGACAGAAGAAACCATTTAGGAGGAACTTCACTCCTATTGGCATGAGTTATGACACCGCATTTGATCGATTAAATGCAAAAGGTCTTATAACTCCTATTGGATCATTTGGGGACCCACAAGTTGAGAAGAGGTCGGCTAATTGGAACCCCAATGCACACTGCAAGTATCACGAAGGCAGGGGCCATCTCACCGAAAACTGTTGGAAGCTTAAGGAAGCTATCTAAGACTTAATCGATAACAACAAGCTGTCGTTGCCCCCTACTAGTAAGAAGCCAAGCATTGACAATGCACCTCTCGCTCATACCCTGGCTATTTCTGATGAGGAAAACGAGGTTGACCCCTCATCTCTCATTAGACTTGTCAAAGAAAGCCGTGCCACAGAAAAGGAAGAGGAAATCTTTTTCGATGTCAAGGATAACCTTCCAGAACCGGCAAGTAAGGAAGATATACAATTGCTCACACTGTCCATGAAGGAGGTATCGCATCTACTACATGAAGCTCTCAAAGCTATGAACGAATTCCAAAGGAAATATGATGAGCTTCCACTTCCGAAAGATGAACCTAAAAGAGAATTCACACCAGTGAGAACGACTTATGAGGCAAATCATTTTCCCTTACAAGTCACTGAAAAACCCAAGAAGAACAATAGAATCTACTCTCCAATTGGGATCCCATATGCACAAATGATCGAAATGCTCTCCGAGAGTGGCGAGATCAAACCTCTCGAATCGAGACCATTCGAGTCATTGAAAAGGACAGATAGATATTACTGTCAGTATCATCAATCAGGGGGTCACACTATAGAAAACTGTTTTAAATTCAAGGATTTGGTTCAAAAAATG